TAATTTAAATGTAACACAAATTTTAGCAGCCACTTTTGCTGTGATATTTGGTGCATTAAAAAAATAAAAAAAAAATCTATCAAGGCTTACTGGCATAAAGCAGGAAAACGTTACGAGAGCAAAGTATTGCAAGCTATACTTTCTCTCACATTTCTCATTCATCAATTTTAACACTGAAAAGGATTACAAACTTTAGGAACATTTCAGCAAAGAGATTTAACTTTAAAATAAAAAATATTACTTTCTAAATATTGTAGAGATAGTTTATCAGCAATGAACAATTTGTATTTGTAGATTATAATTACCCAGACTGTCAACAGCACTCTGACTGGCGCACTTTTCTGCGCTCATAGTTCCATCCTTATCCTTCACATACAGTGGCTCAGTAAGTATATCGTTGTTAACGGTTAGAACTTTGTAAGCGTAACAACCGCTGCTATTGTATCTTATTGCCACACAATCCACATCATTGTTGCAGTACTTGACACATTTCCCAAAACCTGGTCCGCCTGGGTTGTCGACGTATCTTCCGCAGTGTGCCGTTAAATTGACTTCACCGGGGTCAATAAACGTCGGGCGCTTGGTTTCTGAGCCTTTCACCGCAAGTTTATAACTCATCAACAGTATAATAAAAGCCAGAAATTTTTTAAACCGACAAATGTGGTTCCTCAACCCAGCTTGACAATTGTACATGTCTGAACAAATTTTTTTTATCAACAGTCTTGGCTAAATTTTTTTTAAACCCAGCAGAACGAAAAATTCTGGAATTCTAAAAAATTAATGTTGCGATAATTAATGTAGGAAATTCATCAAGCTGGTTCTGTTAACTTTGCATAACAAGACGCATAGTTAATTGTAATACTGCGACCTATGACCTGTAGTATATCCACAATTTTCTCTCATTTCGAAAGGAATTTTTTTGCAATCCCTACTTTCATTTAGGAGAAAATCTTTGCAACACCAATTATGTTATTTAAAAAGTTTCCAATTTTGGGAACAGCTTTTCACTTCTGACACAAAATTGGAGTTTTTGTAGGTAGTTTAAAGGATTGATGGTCAAAATTTGTTGAGTTTGGTGTATTCAGCATAAAAAACTTTGTCTTTCTCTTTATCTTAAGTTTCTAAAGATTCTCAATTCAGGAAAAGAGTAAAAAACGACTTATTTTTCCATTTATCACCGACAACTGTTATGTTGTCCCAGGACGCTCATTGAAAAACCTACCTGTTTTATTTTTTAGTGGCTTACTACTCTTATTTCTTTGCGTATTTTTTAAAAGGTTTTCGACTGTGTAAAACAATGGCATGAAAACGCATTTGCCTACTATTTTTAGTATCTTTGGTTGTTTACTCTTTAACAGCTTCCCAACTAGTGAAAAAACTTATTCCTCGCTCCGAATTTTTCCAAGAAAAACAACATTTTTTGACAGTCTAAGATTTTTTTAAACATTGCTAGAAGTTCCGCGTGAATTTTAAAAGAGGTAAACTTAGAAACTTTTGCGTGTTGCAGTAGTTTTATTCGATTTGTCTAGTCAAAAACTGTTTAAATTTCTCACTTGAAATCTCGTGAATCTCGAGTAAACCCGCAAAGTAAGGTAAAAAAAATAGGCACAGAGAGTACTTTAGATTATATATAAAAATCTACGGCAGAAAAAAGTTAGGATTTTGAGGGACAGCCGGTAAGAGTAAGATTGTTAAACCTCCAGTAAAAATGAAGTGCAGGCAAAAGCACCACGGTACTAGGGCGAAAGAGACACTGTCAGGGGCTGAAAAAAAATGCTTTTCGTTTGCTTCCTCCCATGTTTTCCGCCCATCCTCCTTTGTTTGGAAGAGCAAAAAAGATTTGTAGCATTTTAATGGCAACACTAAGAAATAAATCAAAAAAACTTATTCGTTACCAACAATATTGTTGTAGAACTTCTTGTTTGAACATGACTGATAACCGTCATCGTCAAGCCATTCACTGTTCTTGATTTATTCTGTCGTCATAAGAAATGATCAAAACGCTTTGAAGGAACATTTATATACTAGTCGTCGTCACTTCTAATTTCTATTTCGTGGCAGGGCCAGAGTAACCGTAACACGGGCGGCTGACAAATTATAAAAATGCTGACCACCGTTCAGACTGGGCGTTGTTTACCTGGTTTGTTTTTGGTGGTTTGCGAGTTTTTTGCAAATACTTTAATACCATTTGAGTCGTCAGAACTGTGGCTAGCGTTTTATCGCGACCGTATATGGATACATGGCGATGTTGCCAAAATATTCCTTGAAATGTGACGATAGAGCTAAATTTCCATTATTACTAATTTAGTTACTTCTTTTCAAGAGTACGGGTTTTATGGACGGAACAATTTTTTTTTTCTACACAGAGCTTCCACGAAGTGTTTTCTTATCATAAGTTAAGTCTTTTAGTGCAATAATAGTACTAGTTTTTTGGAATCTTGCTACTTTTAGAGGGAAATGGACTGCTATAGAGGTGGAGTAACCGATTCTATGTGCTTACTGTTAAAATTGCATTCACTTTTGTATCTTTTATCTCGTATCTTCAAATTTTTTGAATCATATTTTCCTCATCTAACCTGCTTTTTTCCACTTTAACTAATTCTTACTTAGGTTACTGCACTCAAAACTGATATTACTCACAGTGAATATAGAGTTATCTTAATGACTTTTTTTATTTTTCTTCTTCGTCTATTTCTTTTCTCTTAAACTACTATTTTTATACCAGTTTTTTAAATTTTTCAAACTTTTTTACTTAACATTGAATTTTGGTTTTTCAGTTATTGATTTCAAATTGTTTTTTCTCATCTTTCAATACAATTACTCTTTCTTTTTACAAATTTCTTATCTCCTCACTAATTAACTTGAGAAAAGAAAAGAAAACAACACATGTTTCCGCGCATAGACAAAAATTACAGCGGTAAATAAATTAAAAATAGCTGTTAGAAACAAAAATTCTGTCACATTTCTGCTAATATTTCGGCAGAAGCAAGACAAATGTTACGTCAAAATACAATTTACCTTAATATCTCAATGTTGAAGCTATAAGGTTCGCATTTACTTCTAACCAAACAGCCGAACAGTTACGTTCTGAACCGTCATATAAGAACGTTGCAGTCGAGCAATGTATGATGGGTCTAAAGGAAAGGAATGATAACAAAAAGAAACTCAAGCAGCACAACATGATCTTTATTTGTAAGGTTAGAAATCATAAAACACACTACTCCACAGAATCCTAAATTTGTTTTCAACCGAATAATTACATTGTATGTCACCAAATAAGAAGGTTGCAAGCGAAGAGTGTTTGAGAATTGTTAAGTGAAGTATTAATTAAGAAGTCGAAGTTTGGAACCCAGCTAACGTAATGTAATCTTTATCTGTGAGGTTAAAAACCGTAAAGCACACTACTCCACAAAAAATACCTTTTAGGTGCAGTCTGACTTAAACCTTAGCGAAAGAAAGCGCTCGTTTTGAAACTTCTGTCTCATTCTTTGTCTACTGCTTTAAACTGGTAATAATAGTAATTTATCTTTCTCTTATTTTTTATTTTATGAGAATGTTGCTTTAATAATATGGGAAACCAAAGATTTTATAGGATGATATTTCCTTCTCTGCTTTTGAGTTTTTCATCGTTTTTTTCTCGCACAGGTTTTTTGCTTCAAAACTTCTCTAAAAAAGGTTATGATGAACGTAATTTTCGGCAGAAAAGAATGATTTTAAGAGAGGCTCCTAGAAAGCAAAATGGTTGAAAAATTATAAAAATACTAATAAGCGATAAACAGGTCACTAGCTTCTTACATTCTTGGCTGAAGTAGATCGCTTTTTAATTTGTAATGAACTTAAAAAAGCGAGTATGCTGACTGATAGGTCGTGAAGAAGGTTGTTAATATTGGCCTTGTTTTCGCTTCTACACTTGGAACTTATCATTTGTTTGTTTTTTGGTATTTCTTTGAGCACTTTCATCTTTGACAGGAATCTTTACTTAGAAAAGGTTTCCTTCAAAATTTAAGGTCTATAGTTTGAAGTTATGAAGCCTAAGAACTTTTTTTCAAATTTCAGTTTGCTACAGGTTTCAAAAACTGTTTTTTCAAATGCTGTTCTAGCCTGATCTCAAAAGTTGGGCTTTTTTCTTCTGCGGAGCAAATATACTGATTTGGAAAGGATTCTTGAAGGGAGCAGAATACCCCTAATTTAGTGTGCAACATACTCGAAGACAGTTGTCAGTGTCAATGATGTAAGATCAGGTTTTATAAAAACTTTTAAAGGTATAAAAAACCATTTTTGAGGGCTACTATTTAATAAGCTTCTGGTTCATTGCAGTGAGCTACTTGAATCAAATACGGTGAAAAAAAAGAAAAGTAAGGACTCGTTAACAGTGAAGGACTGTCAGTTTTCCAACTATATAGAGTTTAGATATGATTCATCCTCAAAGCGTTCAAAAACACATTTTTTAATATATTGTTTGATCGACAGCAATGGGTTTTATCAATATGAAGAGCACGCATTATAACCGTCATAAATATAGTGATTTTCTTCAAAGCAATTTATTTCCGGCGAAGATTAGAAATCATTATTAGACAAATTTTATGCCCGCTTTTTAACGGCAAAATATTAATTGATTAATAAGCTTTCTTTCTATCCAGAAGTTTAAAACTCAGTCTGACAAAGAATCCTTTTATTTTATAAAGAATTTCTTCAACAACTAAAACATATCATTCCAAAAAAAATCTTTACCAATTCGTTTTTTATAAACATGCAAAAAATTTTCATCGCAGAGCACAGATGCGAGTACCTAGCTTATTAACAGCATTCTGATCAAGCAGTATTTGTCCCTTGTAACTTCGTAGCTATCTTTCACATATAGTGATTCTGTTAGTATATTGTTGTGAACGGTCAGATATTTTTAAGCATAACAACAACTGTCACTGTGTTTTGTTGCCAGACAGTTCCTAATGAGGAAAAGATTAGCAATCGAAGCTTATTAAAGAAATCCTTTTAATTCTTTTTCTGTTTGAAAGACTTCTTTAACTAGTCAACTAAAATAAAAGAATAAACACTGTCTAGTGCCTAGTTTCCTGCACTACATCGCTTCAGCGAGCTGAATGCAAAAGCTGACCTTTTTCTTGACAACAGATTACTTGAATTTTATTTTTTTGGTAGTTTTAACGCAATTCTTAACTGCAAGAAACAATATTGCAAGAGACTTTAATTTACGCTCAAAAACTTTTAATTTATTCCTTTTCAATGCTGTTTTAGTAACCAGAAAAAAAATGAAAAATCAGTTCATTTCCAGTGTCATGTTTATTTTAGAAAAGCTGTTTGCTGTTACATCCTGGAATTATTCATAGGTATCGTCAAGACTTTTAGACAAATTTTAGAAGAGATAAACTTAAAAGCTTTACGTATCACAACTGCTGTATTTCGGCTGTCATTCCGAAAAGCGATCGAACTTCTTGTCTAAGATTTGATAAGTCTTGCCTAAACTTGCACACATAAAACTGCACAAAAGAGAATCAGAAAGTGCAGACAATGTGAAAAATTAAAACAAGACCCGGTGGGATAAAAAATAATTTTGATCAGAATTAGGAGAAGTGACGTCGTTAAATTTCAAAAAAAAGTTGTAGCATTAAGACGAAGGCGTTACATTATCTGGAATAAAAAGACAAGAAAATTAAAATAGATAAAAATATTTTTACCTGCTTTCTTTTATCTTCTTTGTCATTATCTTTGTCTAAAAAAAAAAAATTTAAGGTAACAAATTGGAAATACCAAGAAATAAATCAGTAAAGGATAAATGTCATCGGAAAAATTTTTGTGCAGTTGCTTTTCAAATAGTACTGGTAACTGTTACCATCGTAACATCTATCATTCGCGATTGATGCATCTATATTAAAAAACATTTTAAACAATTAGAAGAAAGAAGTTTTATGACTATTTTTGATCAAATAATAATGCTGAAGTGATAAAGCAGTACAATGAAAAATGCAATCTTTTTGAAGTATTGCTCGAATTGAAAAATGCACGACAAAGGAATGGCTTTGGTATAGAATTCTGTAGAATTTGCAAAAATTTTTGAGGTTCTGTAATATGTTTCTTTCTTCAGCGTTGTAGAGCAGTACTTCAATTTGAAAAAACTGCGGTCTTTTGAGAAGTTGACGTATAAAAATACAGGAACGTGACCGTCAGCCAAATTCACTGATTTTTTCTTAACTAAGTTCCAAGATTTTAACTTACCAAACGTTTGCGCTTTGTAGAATTTGCGTTCACCTCAAAAGAAAGAAATTTCTCGTAAACTGTTAAGATAAAAAAAAAATCTGCACCTGAACAATGCTTGATGAGCTTAACTTTCTTTTTTATTTTAGAATGAGACTGGTGTGATTGCTATTGCTGGTAGCGTTGAGAACTGTAATACATAGTCCAGTGCAAAGTCCTGGATATTTGCAGTAATAAAATAATTTAACGACTAACAAAATAAAATGCTTATTTGAGACTTATTACCTCATATGCTATTTACCGCTTAGGACTTCCATAACTGAATTATCCGTTGTTTACCCATTTTTTGAATGAAAGTCTAATAAAATTTTTCTTGTCACCAAACCTGCAGCTCATTTTTTACCACTGAATAAACAAATTAGAGTCTTCAAAAATTTTTTGGAGTACTGTTTCTTTTAATCAACTTTGAACTCCTCTATGCCACCTCGGCAGGTCCCCGCACTATTTCATTTTAAGCCTGAATAACGCCGGCCTCACTTTTTACGCTCTTCTTGGAAGTCTTAAAAACGATTCTTCAGGAAAAATTTAGGTGTCTCGACAGCTACTCTGTTGCGAGGAGGATCTGATACGGTTTCGGCTTGTTGCTTATCTTCCTTAAAAGGGTTAAATGCTGCCAACAGAGTGAATGTTTCTTTTTTAGTGATCCTGCTTATTTCCCACAAATCTGTTGGAATGAATAAAAGTTAAAATTTCATCTCTCCACTGCCGTCTAGACGACGCTTGTGTCTCCCAAAGAAGTCAAAAAGTTTTCAGATGGCTGGGATACTTATATATTTCCAGCTTCCTTCAGAAATGATACTTGAGAAGTGGTGCAAAAATAATTTGTGAAGAAAGAGTTTTAAGCACATCATTGAAAATTTGGCTAATACAAAAATGCTGCTGAAGCATTAAAAAAGTCGAAAGGTTTTTCACAGTTTTTTCATTGCAGTATTTCATCCTTTCCCACCGTACTTAACAATTTTAATTTTTTCCGACCAACAAAACCAGTTTGCTCATGTTAAAGTGAATAGATGGCGTTAGCTTCAAACTGTTTAATTTTTGACAAAAGTTTTATTTTTTTTTTT